GAGGAGAGGAGAGGAGAGGAGAGGAGAGGAGAGGAGAGGAGAGGAGAGGAGAGGAGAGGAGAGGAGAGGAGAGGAGAGGAGAGGAGAGGAGAGGAGAGGAGAGTACAGGCTTTCTCCCAGATGAAACTAGCGTCTTCGCTGCCTACCAGCCCACCCCACCTTGGCTCCTCTCTACCGTCAGAGTGTTATAAGTTCAGCCTTTAAACTAATTTGTAGTATAGTCTAAATATTTTGTTTCCTTTCTCAGAAATGTCTATCTACAATTTCTAATAGAATAGAAACACAACAGAATTTAGTCTCTGTTATTATTGGTAGACTCTGAAAGTCTGAGAAACAGGTATTTCTGATTAACAGAGAACTAGTTAGAATATTTTTCTAGAAATTCTTCAAAAACAGAAAAGAAGATGGAGCAATAGAGGAGTGGGTTTCCAGGAGGCTTCTCAGCTCCCATCTTAGTCCACACCCCAGCTTCCCTCTTGAACAACTGGCCAGTCAGAGTTCCTAACCCAGAGGATCTATAAAGCCCTTCCTCTGCAATCCCAAACACACACATCCCTTTCTCAGTGGTTGCCTCTTCCCATGTGATCACACAGAGCCTCAGAACCACATAGACACACAGAACCTGACACACATACAGGTCTAGGCATGTACTGAGAGCCTTCTCTACCTGAGCACCCTTGTGTCTGTGCCAAGTCCTCGTCTCTGCTCTGCCATGTCTGCAAACCTTACCTGCAGCGAGGAAGGCAGCCTGTGTCAGCCCCTGGACCCAGACCAGGAGCAGCCAGCCATGCATGCTTCTAACCAGATGCCTACAGGAAAGTGGATGTGGCCTCTCCTCTGACTGAAACTGGCCCACTGCAGGTGTAAGGTGAAACCGAGCCTGCGACAAGAGGGTCTCGGAAAAACTGACTTAGGTAAGAGCAGTGTCAAGTGCATAATGTTCTTAACAAGTACACAAGCCACATACGGTGAGCCACAAGAAAGGCCATGAAGGAAACACACTGTAAAAACAAATAAAACATGTGGTTAGAGATTTACAGGTCTTGCGCAACTTGTATATTGACTACTTGGGTAGCCAATCTGTTGTTTTTAAGTTATCTTGATGCACTTTTAGAAACACCAACTTTTATCTAAAGCATTCAAGGGCACACAGGATTCTGAAGAACTATTTCTGATGAGTCAGTCCCCTCCCCTCCCCTCCCCTGCCCTGCTGCTTCAAGCTCCTGCCACAGTAACAACTATAACCTGGCATTGTGAGCTAAAATAAGCCCCCTCTCCTTTAAGTTGCTTTTTGTCAAGACAGTGGCAACAGAAACAAAACTAGAACATCATCTTTTCTTTCTCTGCCCATCCCCTTTCTCCCTCCATCCTTTCCTTCATTTAAAATGTCCTGGGTGCCTACAGAGCATTGGGTTCTGAAGATACGAGGGTGAGCAAGAACTGCTCAGCACTCAGAGTTGACAAAGCTTTCTCTGTAGAGCCACTGGAGAGAGGAGATGGAGGGGACACTGTCAGCTGTCGCCTGAGCTCTTAGCAGAGCTATAATGGCCATGCCCTATAGTGTACAGCCTGAAAATTAGTCTTTCCAGGGGAAATCCAAAGCCTCGTGTCCTGCCCATTTCACCAGTGCATAAGTGATTCTCAACATCCAGGCCTCTGTCCCTCTCTTGTGTGCGCAGGGTCCCTCTATCTCACATCAGCTTCCCTGGATTCTGCTCATTCACAAATCTACACCATGACTTGTGCACCTTAGGCCCCTCCTCCAGACCTGTCAACAGTGTTTGACTTACCAGCTTCTCCCCAGCCTTTAAGGCATACATAAAAATACATTCCTACCACTTTTGTTGTTGTTGTTTTGTTTTTGAGACAAAGTTTCTCTGTGAAGCCTTGACTGACCTGGAACTCACTCTGTAGACCAGGCTAGCCTGAAACTCAGAGATCTTGCCTGCCTCTGCCTCCCAAATGATGGGATTAAAGGTGTGCGTCTTCACCAAAGCCAGCCTCTCCACTACTTTTTAACATCCAAACGCCTTTCAGCTAAAGAAACAGTAAGTCTTGATATGTATTCAGGGTAAGATGCTAGGGCTAGACAAGATGAGCGTTGCCAAACTTGGTTACCCAGGCAGACGAACCACAGGTGCAGGGCTGGTCGGAAGAACACAACCCAGAAAAAGGCTATGAAATTAACAGTCTGCTTTTGTATCATGATGCAGGTAGAAACAAAAGAAAGTAGATTTGTCCCATTTGAGGAATGAAAAAAAAAAAGTAAAAGTTGGTTTTAAAAAGGAAAGGTGAAAGACTTCTTTTTGCCCAGAGAGATGGTTCAGTAGTTAAGGGTGGGCATTACCAAGCATGACAGCTTGAGCTGGACCACTGGGACCCACATAGTGGAAGAAGACTCCCACGTTTGTCCTCTGACCTCCGTACTCAGCCGTGGCATGTGTGTGTTCTCACACCTATTCCCACTCACCCACACATATGCACATACATGCACAAATATATGTGTACACATGTTTTAAAGATTTTTCTGCTGTGACTGAAGGGATGGCCCAGCAGTTAAGAGCACATGCTACTCTTCCATGAAATCAGAAGCTGGTTTCTAGCACATGTATCAGGTGGCTCACAATTGCATGTAAATTTCAACTCTAAGGGATCAAATCCCCTCTTCTGGCCTCTGTGGGTACCCACACACAGGTGACAGGTACACAGTTACACACATATACAGAAATAAATCTTTTTTTTTTTAAGAACTTTTTCTGAAGGGGAACATGGTGCATAGCCATCAGTTCTGGTCTTCAGAGACAGTCAGGGGTAATAATGAATAGATCGTGGAGCCAAATATTCAGGGACAAAATCATCCTTCTTTGGCATGATTTTAAAAATCAAGGAAGCAGGTCTGGTCTGGTCTGGTCTGGTCTGGTCTGGTCTGCTCTGGGGACAGCGAATGGCTCCTAAAGCAAAATATGACCCATTGAGGCCAGTCAGAGCCTGACTCCAATTTCAACTAGAAAGTTCTAAAATGAGCCCAGTGCTCCCTTTGTCCCTCCTGACTACTGGACCAGAGGACTAAGTAGTTCTACAAAGGGGAAAGAAGTACCTGTCTAGATATAAAACAATACCCAGACATCTGTTCATAGCCCAGCCTCTCCCTGAGCGAGCTTTACACCCCAGCCAATTCCTTTAGGACCAGACCTGAGAACCTGAGTCTGCAGATGCAATGTCTCCGAGGGAAAGGGAGGCAAGAGTGGCCACACCATCCACAAGGCTGATGACTTGTACAAGAAACAATGAAAGGTTCACTCAGAGGTCTCTTTGGGCTTCAGCTCTCAGCACCTACCCCACCCCAGCTTAGAAACAGTGGCAGCAGCCCCAGACCTCTTCTAGCTGTCTTGTCTTTCAAGTCTCTGCCTCTAACCAAAGAGAAACAACCCTGAGGACATAGGGACCAGGGATTCTATTCTTGCCAGGTGCTAGGACTTCCTGGCAGCCCCCCTGTATTATGGCAGAGGACAGCAAAAGGTTCTACTTACTTTGCCTTCAGCAGGATGGGGAGACAGAAGAGATGAGACCAAGTTACTGTCAACCCTAGGAAGAACATGCCTTCTGCCCCCATATCCATTACAAAGCCTTCGTCCATCCATATTCAAATCTCCTGATGGAGATGTCTGCCCAATGGAGTACACCCAAGCTACCTCAGAAAATCAGAGACTCAACCCAAAAGGAATGTTTAGGTGCTGAGGTTTATGAGTAAGTCTGTGAGCCCTGAAGCCTATCACTGACTCTGGCTCACCATGAGTAGAACTGAAGATTGCTGACTTCGTTGGTCAAATTCCCTCAAGGAGCGATGACTGGATTCCCACCACTCCCATAAGCTGCCAAATTCAGTATACTCAGAGTTTTTTTGTCTTCCCAGCTGTGTAAACAGGACAGAAAGCCCTAGAATTGGCGGGCATGCAGAGTCAGAAGAAAAGTCGGTGGGACCAAGCTGCTGACCCTGTCTCCTCAGCTTCAGCCTCCTCTCGCCTCTCCCAGCAGATCTGCTTCTCACCGATACCCCTTTCCTTTTTCTTCGTGAAACTGCATGACACTGTCGCATAATTAGAAAACTATTCTATGCACTTGCTCAACCAGGTAGACTTTATCAGATGGCTACAAATGGATTTTGCAATGGAGGGCAAGAATTGGCATCAACTCCAAATACAGCGTGTGCAAGTGGGAATGAACAGCCAGGGAACCAGAGGCCACACCGCCTGGAAAGCACAAGGAGGCAGCCTCAGGTTAAGTGGCCTTCTTCCTAAACTGGTCTAACAGGATTCTTGCATTCTTGCAGGTAACAGTAGAGGAGAACCAGATAAACCTGTGAAGTGATGAAGGAGACAGGTCAGAGAAGCAGTGTGGTCCAGACACAAAGGGAAGGAGGAGCTTAGGCACGTGAGTGTTTAGTGTCCTTGGCTAACACTGGGTTTTACAGGAGAGTATAGAAATTGGTTTAGATTCATTAATCTGCCTAAATTTGGTAAGGCAAATAATCTTTGTCACTGAGTTCCTACAAAATCACTCTTACTGTGTGAGAGCCAAAGTTATGTGTTAGGTTTTAAGTAAACTACTGTGTCTAAGAGATCCATAAAACAAAAATGCTGCGAACCTGTAAGCTCCTTGCCCAAGCGCAGATACTTCCTGAGATGCTGGAGGCTGAGGTCCATACAAGATAACTAGCCACATATTTTCACTTCTCTAAACAAGTTTGGTTGACTTAACTGCACCGGATGTGCATGATCACAAATAGGAGGGCGGTACTTAGGCAGGAAGTACGTCAGGATGTATGCTAGCCTCCGGTTGGACAAAGGTAAGAAGTACCTGGCCTTTTGGGTTTGCTATTACAGGTACCCAAATAACTTAATTCAGTGTTGTTTCTCTGGGATTCCTGGGTATGGACCTGGACAATTTCGGTCTCCCTAACCAGTATTAAGTAGAGCTTGCTTCAACTGGATGATTGTGGATTCCATCATTCTCCTTGAGATTTTTCAGGTTTGACGACCCTATCTGCCCTTTTACCCCTAGAAGCTATTTCCTATTTTTTTTTTTTTTTTTTTTTTTTTTTTTTTTGGTTTTTCGAGACAGGGTTTCTCTGTGTAGCCCTGGCTGTCCTGGAACTCACTCTGTAGACCAGGCTGGCCTCGAACTCAGAAATCCGCCTGCCTCTGCCTCCCAAGTGCTGGGATTAAAGGCGTGCGCCACCAACGCCCGGCTTTCCTATTCTTTATAGTCATCCAAGACACCTAGTTCTGGGATTGAGGCACAAACAGACATGCCTTTCCAACAACCCTACATCACCAAGGGCTCCCTTCACCACAGTGAGGAGAATGGCAAACCTGGATGATTTCCCAGGGGGTCTAAGACCTTAAAAAACCAAGTTTTTTCTCTGTTACTTAAAGCATACAGATATAAACACAGAGAAGATTTTCCTAATTAGTTCAGTGAAATGAACTGAAAATTAAATGATTACGATTATAAGCAATAAAAGAAAACTAAATCTCAGTCTTCCAAATAGTGAGGAAAAAATTCTTTAAAAATACACCTTTACACAGACCCAGGAACATATTAAACAAAATATACAATGAAAAGGCAGAGTTCATCCCAGGATGTTGAGAAATATCTAAAACTAGGAAATCCATTAATATATTAAATATTACATTTACATCTTAAAGCACATGGTCATTCATTCTATTATGATAAAAACAAAACAAAAAAATTAGTAAGCATGACTGACTTTTTAAAAAGTTCAATAAGAGAAATGAATGGATTCTTTTTTCCTTTACATAACTACATACACTCAATTAGCTGCAAAGCTAGCATATTTTTTGATGGCAAAACACTATAG